AATGGATAGAGCTCTGGCCTTTGAGTCAAGAAGACTTGGGTTTAAGTCCTTTCTCTGCCAAATATTATTTATCTAACTAACCCTGGACAAGTCATTTAACTTTTAATTCTCATTCTTCTCCAGGCTACACTCTGTAACTAACTGTACCAGTCCTCAGTCGCCTTAGCTCCTACCCCAACTTCTTTTCAGCTTTCTTTAATGTGATATCTTCCTCCATTAAAATATAAGCTCCTTGAGGGCAGAGACTTTCTTTCTACTTGTATTTGTATTCCCTTCAGTTAGCATAGTGTCAGGCACATAGTAGGTGCTTAATAAATACTTGTAGACTGACTGAATTTAACTTTTCAGCAACCCACACAACTCTTAAAAACTAATTTTAAAACTAATTAAGAGAGTAATTGATGATCTATATCAGTGGAAAATCACCCATCCAAAAAAAAAAAAGTAGGTAATTTAGGGGGAAAGTTAAGAAAAATGTATAAAAAGTAATTTCATCTTTCATGGCCACAGTACCAGTCCATAGACACTGACACTGACAATGTTAAGGAGAATGTGCAGGCAACTAACTAAAGGAAGTCCTCAGGTCTGCCAATTTCCATTGAAAATTGATAATCCTATTAACAACTCTAAGTACTTCACAGTTTAATTGTAGTCAGGTTCTTACATCTTAGCATTTTCTGTACAAGTGTGTTGATCTATACTGTTAGTATCTCTAACAACTGTATGACAGCCTAAGTTTAAAGTTTGTTTTTATGCTTTGTATATCTTAAGTTACTTGCAAAACTTTTAACATGTAGTTTGTGAGGAAAAGTAAGGGAGGGAAGAGAACAAGCATTTATTAAGCAACTACTACTATGTACCAACTGGTGAGATTAGCTGAAGCCTTTCTGGAGACAATGAGATTCAAACAGACTGGTCAATAGAGAAGTTTTGAATGCTGTGGATTAAGCTCACTTTCCTTGGTAGTGTACTTTCCAGGGAGGTACACATTGATAATGAGGTTGATACAGGCATTGCCAGAGCTAGCTTAGTGTTTGGGAGGCTCTGAAGGAAAGTGTGGGAGAGAAGAGGTATTAGGCTGCCTGCCAAACTGAAGATCTACAGAGCTGTTGTGCTGATCTCGTTGTATGCCTGTGAAACCTGGACAGTCTATCAGCATCATGCCAGAAACTGAATCTGTCCATTTGAATGGTCTTAGGAAGATTCTGAAGATCACCTGGTGGGATAAGATACCAAACACTGAAGTCCTTTCTCAAAATAAACTGCCAAGCATCCAGACTCTACTGCAGAGAGGGCAATTAAGATGGGCTGGCCACATTATTTGAATGCAAAACTTACACTGGCCAAAAAGACTATTTTATGGAGAACTCACACAGGGCAATCTCTTACATGGTGGTTAGAAGAAGCAACACAAGGACATTTTCAAGATCTCTCTTAAGAACTTTAGAATTGATTGTGACATATGAGACACTGGCACAGGATGGCTCAGCATGGTGTACCCACATCAGAGAGGGGCTGTGCTCAATGAACAAAGCAGAATTGAAGTAGCTCAAAAGAAACTTGAGATGCACAGATTTGGAGAATCCACCCTAAATGGTCACATGGACTATTTGTGCCTGACTTGTGGTAGAACATTTCGAGCTTGTATTGGTTTGATCAGCCATAGTTGGACACATGGTAACTTGACTCTAGCATAGTGACATCATTTTGGTCTTCCAGAAGGAGGGACAACAATCAATGAAATAATGAAACTAACATGGGCCCCTTCACCCTGGGCAAATGGGCTGGACAATGGAATCAAAACTCTAAGCTATTGCACCTTGCCTGCATATCCATATTTACCTCATCTCCCTGCCTATAGGGCACCTTTCCTCTATAAAAATCCCTAGCTTCTCTAGGCTAGGGGGCATCTCCCTTAAGTGGCTGCTACCTCCCCTAAGGAAGAGTCTGCTTGGTGTGTTATCTGGAATAAATGCCTTTACTGATTTGGAGCTGCTGATTTGGAGACAGCCTGAGCAAATTCTTTTGAGAGATACCCAGACACAGACAGACAGACAGACAGACGCACACACACACACACACCTTGCACCTCAATATTTTGGGATGACCATGCACCTCATCACCAGTGTGCTAAATGTTTTACAAATATTATCTCATTTGATCCTCACAACCCTGTGAAACAGGTGCTATTATTATCCCCATTTTGCTGTCAAAGAAACTGAATCAGACAGCGGTTAAGTGTCTTCTTATCCAGGGTTGAAGCTAGGAAGAGTCTGAGACTCAGGTCTTCCTGAGCTTCCCGAGCTCTTCCTTGAAATCAGGTCTTCTTGACTCCAGGCCCAGGGCTATATCCACTGTGGCACCTAACTGCCACAGCAGAATATTTACCATATTTAGGTTAATCATTTTCATATTGCTTTTTAATCAGTCCACAAGTACTTTTTGGGCAGCTAGATGGCACAGTGAATAGAATGCCAAGCCTGGAGTCAGGAAGACTTTTTTTATCTGTAAAACTTGGAATAATAGCACCTACTTCCCAAGGTTATTCTGAGGATTAAATGGATATTTGTAAAGCACTTAGTGCAGTGCCTGGCACAAAGAAGGAGATTAATAAATACTTGTTTCCTTCCTTCCTAACCCATTTTAGCTCTGCTGAAAACATCTCCTTTACCCTAATAACCGCAATCCACTCCTTCCTTTCCAAAATTCATCAAATTCTGATTGCTTTGGAATCACATCAAAGATTTAAAGATAGATTGGACTCCTTTAGTCATAGTCTAATCTTTTTTTTTTACAGATGCAGAAACTGAGGCAAAGACAGGCTAAGTGACTTGCCCAAGATTATATAGATAGTATATATACAGGGTAGGGATATGAATATAGGTCTTCTGCTACTCAATCCAGCTTTGGTTAACTCAAATTGAACCTTGGGCCCTAGGTAATTTATCTTCTCACTGTTTCACACCTCATTGTGAATGAATTTACTGAAATCTTTCCAGGCTACTGAAGACTACAGATTTGGACATAGGAAATGGAGAAAGAACAGATGAGTGATGTCCATCCTTCCTGATAAACAGGTTCATAGGCAATCTCACCAACTTGCAGTTATCTTTTTACTCCTCACTCTCCTTTACTCCATTTATCTGATTAGATAAATTGACAAGTCTGACCAATTCTATCTCCACAATATCCCTTATCGATATCTCCTCTCCACTCACATAGTCATCACCCTAGTGTAGGGCCCCCTAAACTGGGCTATTGAAATATCCTTTTAATCGGTCTGTCTATCTCCAGCCTCTCCCCTTTTCATTCTTCACACAACTGCCAAATTGATATTTTTACAGCATCAGTTCGACCAAGTCACTTTACTGTTGGAGAAACTTCAATGGTTCCCTAGTGGCTTTAAGAAAAAATACAAACTCTCTATTTTGACATCAAGAAGATTCACATTTCCCACTCAATTATCAGTCCCAACTCTGATGATTACCACCTTAAGTGACTTTACTTAAGGTAATGGATTACTACTATTAAGTCACACTGTCTCTGGATTTCAGTTTTCCTTGTCTGGGTAAAATAAAGGGCTTAGACTGAATAGCTCAAACAGGTTAATATGTGTAAAATATTTGGTGAACCTTAAAGTGTTGTATGAATGCAAACTTTTATTATTCTTTTTGTCTCTACTAGGAGCTGCATGACTTACGTAAAATATCTTAAGATCTTGAAGAAACCTAAGATCCTTCCAGATCAATAACTCAGACTGATTTCACATTACAACCCTTCACACACTGTAAATTCTGGCCAAAATAGCCTACTTGCCATTCCCCATACATCACATTCTACCTCCCACTTTTCTGCTTTTTCCATAACCTGTTATCCTTCCTTCCTGAAATGTTCTTCCTCCTCACCTCTGCCTTTCAGAATACCTAGCTACTTTCAAGGCTCAAGTGAAGTTCCACTTCCTACATGAAGCCTTTCCTGACCCTTACAGTGTTTTCAACCACCACCCTAAGTTATACACTTGTATAAAATTTGTATTTATTCACTTACATACCTGGTGCACGACTCCAGGCATGAGTTGTGCTCCAGCTCCCACTCCGGGCCACCCTCCCCCTCTCCCCGAAAAAAGAGGGAAAAGATTGCAAAATCCTCGAGAGCAGGCACTCTTGTTTTTGTCTTTACATCCCCCAGAACCTGGCACAAAATAGGTACTTAATATATGTTTGTTTAACTGAATCAGGTTGGTGATGGGGAAAGGCCGAGTCCCAAAGTCAAAGATAAAGGTCCACAATTATACCAGCGGCACCCACTTGGGATGGGTCAGTAAACCTCTCCAGGTTAAGACGTTATTTTGCATTTACAGAAGAACCTCTTTTCATCTAAAGTAGTCCCCAAAACTTTCGAGGCATAGGAGTACAGCGAGTTACAGGGCTAAGAAGTCCACACAGTAAGTAAGTGGCCAATGAGCTACATCCCAAAACCCTGACATGCCAAAGATACCCTTCCTGGCCTGGCACCCAATTCATTCCCTGGCTGCCAGGTGTGTGGCTCACACTTGACACCTGGCCACGCCAATCCACACACCAGACCGCTGCCGGGTCCCCCAGCAGGAAAGGAATTATGCCCTCCTCGGCTCTGGGGAAGGATTTTAAAGCGCTCCCCAAGAGTGACACTCAGGTCAAACTGAGGCACTACTACCTGTGTCTTCCAGGCAGCGAGAAAGGCCTGGGACTCTGAAGCTGCACTCACCTGGAAAAGGGCAGAGGGAGGATCCGGGCAGACCCCCTTCCCTCTTTGCCGCCCGGAAGAAGCAGGTAGTTAATGTCTCCCCTTCACCTGAGCGTCACCCCTCTGGGAACGCTTCAGACTCCGGGGACCGGGCACGTGGATGACCGGAGGAGCACGGACAGTGTCAGGCGCTCCCAGCGGGGGGTAAAGGTCACCGGGCAGGGGTCACGCTCCCTCCCCCCACCCTCCACCCCGCCCCCAGAGTCTCATCTCACCCAGCCAGTTCTTGCGCTCAGGGATGTAGAAGTATTTGTTCCCGAACTGGTCCGTGCCCACGTACTGCTTCACTTCTTTCGAAAAGAGCCTCAAAAGGGCGCGCAGCAGACCCTGGGATCCGCTCATGCTGCCTCTCATTCAGCTGGGCTCTACCGCGGAGGCCGCCGGGGGTGGAGACGTCGAAGCCCAGAGCCCACCTCCGCAGCCGGCTCCGCCCGGGCTCCGGCGACGGCCACGCCTCAGCCACGCCCTCCTCAGTAACAGCGCTCTTTATTGGTTACTGTGCCCCGCTGCCCGGCCAATGGGTGACGCCGCTCTTGAAGCCCCGCCTCCCCGAGCGAGGCAGGCCGGGTCCGGTCATGGCGGTGTGGCTGCTGAGTTCTGGCAGCGGGAGCTATGCTGGGCTTCCTGGAGGCGCGGCAAGCCGGCCTGGACGATCCTGGGAGGCTTCGGAGAGCGGAGGCCACCCGGAGGTAAAGAGAGCCTGAGAAGCGGGTCGTGATCAGCGGCTTTGTCTGTCTCTTTCCCGCGCCTCCCTCCAGGCTCCCCAGCCCCTTGATCCACTTGGTCCTCGCCGGCTTGCAGCTCCAAGGCAGGCCGGCCCCTCTTCTGGCCAAAGCCCGGGACCCTCCTTGAGACCTTGAGCCCGTTCTCTCTGGGCTCTTCCGGGAATTTGCACCTTCGGTCATCCCCTCCCTCTCGCACATGAGATTCTCGCTGGACATGTATCTCCATCCCACCCTGCCCACTTCTGCCCCTCACACTGGACACTCCATCCGCCATCTCTCCTTTGACACTGCGGCCGTCCCGGTGCTAGGGCTCGTCCCCCAATGCCTCGCACTACTGCGGTAGCTGCTGGTTGGTCTGCCTGCCACAAGGCTCTCTTTCCTCTAATCCATCCTCCTGTCCATCCAGTTGTCAAAATGATCTTCCTAAAGTACAGGTCTGACCATTTTACCTTTCTCACCCTCCACTCAATAAATTCCACTGGCTCCCTTTTACCTCCAGGATCAAATATAAAATACTGTTTGGCATTCAGAGGCTTTTATAATCTGCCTCCTCCTCCATAGCTTTCTAGTCTTCTTACACCTAACCCTCAAGTATACTAGCAATTCCTCATTCCTGAAATGCGCTTAAAGATGGCCTCTCCCCTTCAAGACTAATTTCAAGCACTACTTTTTCTGTCTGCCTCCCCTCAACTACTGGTGCCGTCCCTTCCACCTTGACTTCTTTGTGTTTATTTGCATTTATTCTTTTTGTATTTTGTAGATAAATTTGTATATTCATATGTTCTTCCCATTAAGCTGGAAACTCCTTGAAGTTGGCATTATTTCATTCGTTATATTTACCTAGCACAGTCAACAAACATTTTTAAGCATCAGCCTTGGTTTTAGGTTCTAGGGATACAAAAAAAAGTTAAAATCAATCAATCACTGAACATTTATTAATTGCCTACTACTTGCCAGGCACAGTGCAAAACACTGAGGATACAAAAAGAGGCAAAAGGCAGTCCCTGACCTCAAAGAGCTTACAGTCTCGTGAGGGAGACAATATGCAAAAAACTACAGACAAGCTAAATCTGTAAATTGGAAATATTCCACAGAGCTGAGGCACTGGAATTAAGAGAGAGGGATCTGGAAAGGCTTTCTGTGTAGAAGGTGGGATTTTAGTTGGGACTTGAGGAAAGCCAGGAGGCAGAGATGAAGAAGGAGAACATTCCCTACTTGGGGGACAGCCAGTAAAAATGCCAGAAGTCAGGAATTGTTAGAGGAACAACAAAGAGACCAGTATCACTAAATCATAGTATACTTGGGAGTTAGGTATAAGAAGACTAGAAAGCTAAGAGGGAGGAGGCTGATTATGAAAGCCTTTGAATGCCAAACAGTATTTTATATTTGATCCTGAAGGTAATAGAGAGCCAGTGGAATTTATTGAGTGGAGTGTGAGAAGGGTAAAATGGTCAAACCTGTACTTTAGGAAGATCATTTTGACAACTGGATGGACAGGAGGATAGATTAGAGTAAAGAGAGACTGGTGGTAGGCAGATCAACCAACAGGCGATTGCAGTAGTTCTGTGCATTGGGGGATGAGCCCTAGCAGGGAGAGAAAAGATCCAATTTGAGAGATTATATGAAGGTAAAATCAACAAGGTTTGGCTATAGATTGGATATAGGGGTTGAGAGAGAGTAAAAGTATACAGTTGGAGATAGATGTTAAACTGGAGTTGGAAGAGAGGTTAGAGCTGGCTAAGTGGATCTGAGAATCATCAGCGTAGACATAATAATTGAACCCATGGAAGCTAATTAGATCCCCAAGTGAAATGATATAGAAGGAGAAGAGAAGCAAGTCCAGGAAAGATCCCTGTGGGACTCCTGTAGTTAGAGAGCATGCCCTGGATAAAAATCCAGCAAAGGAGCTTAAAAAGGAATGGTCAGATAAGTAGAAGGAGAACCAACAGAGAGTAGTGTCCTGAAAAACTAAAGAGAAGAGAGTATTTGGAGAAGAAGGTAATGGACAGTATCAGAAGCCTCAAGGAGATCAAGAAGGATGAGGATTGAGAAAAGGCCATTGATTTGGCAGTTAAGAGATCATTAGTAACAGAGACTGCTACATTAGTAAGTGCTTAACTAATGCTTGGTGGTGTTAGGGATTGTTTCAGTCTTTGTATTTCTCTTGCCAATACCTAGCACAAGGCCTGGCACATGGTAGGTCCATAATAAATGCTTATTGATTCAGTATTTCCCTATGAAGTGACTCTTTTCCTTATCACCTACAAACATCCTCAGGTCTCCCCATAAAAATCTTTGCTTGACCCTGCCATCCTTTAAAGTTATTGATTGTCATCTCTCTTCCTTTTCATTGCCTTATAGCCTTTAAGGCCCATTATCTGCAAACTTTACCTGCATCCCACTGTCTGGTATGTAGTGGTATTTGTTCCTGAATGGTCCGTGCCCACATGCTGCTTCACTTCTTTTGAGAAGAGCCTCAAAAGGTACATTTATAGTTAACAGCTCCCAAAGAGGGCAAAAACTGAAACTGCTTTCTTCAACAATTATCGTTTATTAGCCTGCTCTGCTTTATACCTCCATATCTTCATCCTTTACTACTTAAACTATCTCCCTCCTAATATACCAATATTTTTTTCTGTTCTATAGCCTGTTCCTTGTTATACATATAGGTAGATGACTATGTAATGAGGAGTAAGGATTCTTCCCCTCCCTTTCCCAATTCAGTGTGTTAAAGTAATTTATAAAAATAATTTATGAAATATTTGAATATGATTCCTGTTCTCAAATAGATTTTTGTAGATCCTCAAAGGACATTTAAGTAAATCTGTGAATATCCTAATAAAACTATGAAAATATAAAATTTCCAATTTCCCAAAAGTATTCTTATTGAATTAATATGGTCAGTTGCAAAACAGAAATAAATGTAGCCCATGAAGCAATAAATATAATGATGATTCCTTTTAGTTATTGGTAGAAATCTGAAAATTTATTAAAATCTGAACAATTTCAAAAAACAAATCAATAAATATGTGTTAGGTGCATCCTTTGTGCAAAGTATTGGTGGTAGAAAGACAAAATTGAAATAGAGTCTTATGCCCTAGGGTTTTAAAGGATTCATGATTTCATTTTGTGTAGGTACTTTCCACACCTTGACAAGTAACAATACCTACATCCTTAATAGATGATATTTGGGTTACTGTACCCAAATTAATCAGTCATCTGATGGCCAACCTGGTGATGAACCTCTTTGAACATAGTTGTGTTGGTTTTTGGAGACAGGTATGTCCACCTCCAGATCCATACCCAAAGTTTTCCTATATCTTAGTAACAAACTCCATAGCTTGTGTTCTGTGAATATAGTCTTTAAGAACCTGAGACTTTTCCATGCCACCGTACGGAGTAAAACTTTGGTAGAAGAAAGTCTGAACTAGTAGGAAATTAGTATAGTCATTGCTTATCTTAATAAAGATTCAAAACAGGATCATATTCTGTAAGGGAATCAGAAGGCATCTAGTCTAACTGGCCCATACACATTTATTTTACAGATCATCATATTGAGACAATAGAGGTGCCCAAGGTAACACAGAAAGTAAGCATCAGAACTGGAATTTCAACCCAGGGCCTCTGACTCCAGAGCCAATACTCTTTCTGCTGCTATACTAGGCTGCCTCCCTAATAAATGATAAATACTTAAGTTGACTAGTTTTAAAGAAAATACTTTTTTTTCCTAGTGTTTTCTATCACAATATATATTTACAAGTTTTCCTCTGTTTCACAGCCAAACTTTTGCAAAAAACTGTCAACATCCATTGTCTCAATTGAAACTGCTCTCTTTAGAATTAACAATAATCTGTTATTGATAAATTTAGTGTCCTTTTTCGAATGTTAATACACAGTTAATACACAGTTGTGTAACATTTGACACCATCAATGAACCACTCTTCACTATTCTCTCTTCTCTCTTCCTTGGGTTTCTGTAACACTGCTCCTCTAATTCTCCTCCTTCCAGTCTTAACTGTACCTTATAAGTTTTCTTTACGGGATCATCGTCCATGTCCCATCCTGTTTGTGGGTATAACTCAATTCTGGGTTCTTTTTTCTTTCTGATAAAACTAGATGTCTAGACCTCATCTCTATCCTGAGTTACAGTATCCAAAGCAGAGCTCATTATCTTCCCTCCTAAACCCATCCACTCCTAACTTCCTGAATTCTCTTAAAGGCATCATTCACTGAAGTCCGCAACCAAGGAGTCATTCTTAATTCATCCTTCTTTACCACCACCCCCCAAACTCAGGCAGGTCACAAATTTTGGCCATTCTACCACCACAGCGTCCTTCACATCTTTCTCCTTTTCATTCAGCCACCACTTTACCTTTCACTTGAACAATTGCACTAGCCTTTTTTTTTTGCACTAGCCTTTTAATTTTTTATGTCCCTGCTTCCATTCATTCCCCTCACCAATGCATCCTCCAAATCAATCTTTCTAAAACACAAGCCTGACTGTCACTCTCCTCCCTGCTCAGGAATTGATTGTGTGACTCCCAGTTGCCTCAAAGGGAAAATACAAAATCCCCTATTTGTTATTTAAATATTTCACAGTATGACTCCAACCTATCTTTTCAAGATGGCTACACATCACTCCCCCTCAAATTGCCTACTAATTGTTGTTCCGACCTGACATTTTATCACCTGCCTCTCTTTGTGTCTATTCCCCTCTATCTGGAATGCACTGCATTTTCATCTTTGTCTCTTGAAATTTCTAACTCCCTTCAAGTATCAACTCAAGTGCTACCTCCTACATGATGCCTTTGCTGATCCCCCCCCTGATTTTAGTGTCCTCTCCCTCCTCCCCAAAATTACTTTTTACGCATTTTTGTATTTACTCATCTGGTACTCATCTGCCATGCCCCCACCCCCAGTTAAATGTGAGTTCCTTAAGGACAGAGACTATTTCCTTTTTATCGTATCCCCAACACAGTGGCTAACACAGAGGCACAATCAATCAAAAAGCTTTAAGTGCCTACTATGTGCCAGGCTGTATACTAGCCACTGGGATACAAATAACAATTTATGAAACAATCTCTACTTCCATGAAGGAGACAACACTGACATAAAAGTGAACTACAGATGCTTGATAGTTATTGAATTAAATTTCTTCTCATATTTTAAAAACTTAGAGTTGTATATTTTTAAAAATTTCCTTTAGTGAGCTTTTAAAACACTAGATTCTTCAGTTTGGCAGGAACTTTAGAGGTCCTCTAATTCAACCAGCTTGATACAGGATTCCCTCTGTGACATCCTTGCAAAATGATTTCCCATTATTTTGTGAATGTTTCCAATGATAGGGATCCAGATAACACCCCCACAGTAAGTTTTCTTCGTTGTTGAGAGGGAAACACATTGTGCATTGATTAATACTACTGTCAGCAAGGCACAAAGGGTTCTTGAGATCATTTTACCTGAACAATGAATCTCTTGGTTTTTTAACAGAATGGAGGAGCTGGGGGACTGTTACCCTCTCCTGGGAAACCTGTAGTGAGTCTAGGACTATGGTTAGACTTTTTAAAAAATCTTCCATTTTCCTGAATTTTGAAAATAAAATTCGGAGATAACATGAGGAAGCAGCTACTTGAGACTTAGGGCTTGAGTAAATGTGTCCACTACATAACTTTATTTTATTCAAATTTACTGACAAAAGATCATCTGGTCCAGCTGCTTCATTTTTTCAAGGGAGAAAACTGAGGCCCAGAGAGATGATTTGCCCTTAGACATGAAGTTCATCAGTCAGTAGCTGAGTTGGGATTCAAATTCAGCTCTTTCAACTTAGCCATAAGCTTGAGTATATTTTTAGTGTTTAACTTCATTTATGAAAAATCTCTTTTCAGTTCCAAATCTGTGAACCTGCAGAACTCCAGAAAATGCTTTTCTGTGTTTTTAAGCAAAATATCTTTTTATTTAATTCAGTTAGTAAAATTATACAAGGTCTGTGCTGTAAGTATGAAGGTGAGGAAGGGGAAAATGTAAACCATAAAGTATTATTTTTCTGAGTTCCAACTTTACAGAAATTGAAAACCTCCACATTCTTAAATCATTTTTAATTTGTTCCTTTTTACTTTTAATTTTTATGTTTTTCCCAAAGGGTTTTAAAATTGGAATTAAATAAAGACCGAGACGTGGAAAGAATACATGGCAATGGTGTCAACACCCTTGATATTGAACCTGTTGAGGGGAGATAGTAAGTTCATTTTGTTAATTTAATAGAATTATTGTGTTAAGTAAATATAATCCCATAACGTTGCCAGTAAAAATTGCCAGTCTTGAAGTGGTTAAAAAAAAAAAGGGTAAATTGTTGGGATTTTTAAAATGTAATTTTCTATATGTGAGCAAAAGCTACATACTCATTGGCAAGTAAAGAGCCTGCATAGCTGGCTTTAGTGAAGGGTTAGTCAATATTACCACCACTATCTAGTTGATGAGTTTATGAGCCCTTGATGATTGACAATGTACTTTACAAGCATTATACCATTTGGTCCTCATAAGCCTCATAAAGTAGGCTTTGCAAATAGTGTTTACACATTTTACAGTTGAGGAAACTGGAGTTCACAGAGATTATAGTCACATGGCTTATAAGTGATGACTTTTTAAAATTCAAATTCAAATTCAGGTCTTATTCCAGTCCAGTACTCCTATTACTTGGCATAAAATTAATATTTTAAAGTCCTAAAAACCAATTTGTTCTCCTAGGATGGTTCAATGTGACCTCTACAAATTTCTTTGTAATTTGCTAGCAAACCATGCCTTTATAGGTAATATAATGGTAAACTCCATTTTGGACTGTATCAATTTATCATAAACTAGTAGTCTGAGTAAGAATTTACTATTTAACATTTAAGTGCTTATTACATTTCAGTTATTTGAAACTTAATCCCTTGATGGAAGTAAGCAATCAGTTATCACAAATAAATGGATGATGTAAAATAAAAAAGTGTCTTTTTTTTTTTTTGACAGCATGTTATCAGGTGGTTCAGATGGCATTATTGCACTTTATGACCTTGAAAACTTCAGCAGAAATGTTCATTACACATGCAAAGCTATTTGTTCTGTGGGCAGGTATGTATTCAAAATATGATTAGTTAGCAAAAAGCTAATATAAATATTTACTGACATAAATGCAAATTTGAAACAGCAGTATATTAAATGAAAGGATAAAATTATGTTCAAAAAGCACATAATAATTACCTCTGAATTCTCCAATATTGCAAAAAATTAGCAAAAATGTAAGCGTAGTTGACATATATTACTCTCTAAAAGATATCAGATTATACTTTTAAAATGGGAATTTATAAATTTTTTTAGCATATTTTCTTTCTTTGCATTCTGTCCTAGATCTTCAGTAATCCACATGTCCATCTTTTCTCAGACATCTCAGACTGCCCTTGCTCTGGCTTCAATTATCTCCCAAAGTAGTTTTGACTCTGTTATGATGTCCCACTTTATGATTTCCTCTATACCACCCTAGAATCTCTCACTTCCCCTGACCTTCCGGCTTTGACTTCTGATAATCCACATCCTAGGTAACCCCACCATCTGTTTTCTTTCCTCTCACTTCTTAATTCCCCAAAACAGTGAAGAAATTTATGCAATCACACTGATTTCACCCACTATATGAATTTGTGATGCATCTTCTCCACTGGGCCCTCACTGCTCTTCATCTGCTCTTATGTTCACTTTCTCTTCCTATCATGTCAGTTTTAAGACCTTTTCTCTAGAAGTTCTCAACCTTTACCTTTCCACACTTACAGCACATTGTCTGGCTGCTTGTTACATTGAGATTCAGCACATCTGATGAGTTTTCTGAACTCCCTTTTTGATTCCCTGAAACTTCTTAGTGTCCTTGACCATTTTCTCCTTCCCTCCTATCTCAAGAGAAGTATTGTCTCTACCCCTTTCTGTGTCTGGTCTCTGCCTGTGTTATTGTTCCCATCTCCTGACTTGTTCAAGCAAATATCCACTTTGTCTTCTACAACTTCAATTTTTATTTTTCCATTTGCTTTTAATATTCCTACAAAAATTACCCAGCCATTAATAAGGAACTTATCAATCCTTCTGTATATCTAGTCCTTGACCATTCAGTTATGGATTCTACATATCAGAAGTATATTCTCTTTGGTGGAGTTTAAATGAAGAAATGCATACAGTATTCTTCCTCTCTGTGTTGAATAAAAAAGCCATTTCCCTTTCAGTCTTGAAGTCCTTAATGTAAGTTGAGAGAAAAGCTTTATTTGTTACTCAGGTTTCCCTAATATAAAACAAAACAAAACAAAACGCCTTTTCTCAATCCTTTTAATACTGTCTCTTGTCATTTTCTCCATCACAATCATATATATTTCTTAAAAAAAAAGCAGTCTATGTCAGGTAGTTCCAGTTTCCATCCACTCATTATCCTTAACCATCTTTCAATCTGTTTCCATGTCAGTCAATAAATACTAAGCACTTAGTATGTGCTGGGCAGCTTGCTAAGCACTGGCAATACAAAAAGAAGCAAAAGACAATCTTTGCCCTCAAGGAGCTCACAATCTAAAAGAAGAGACAAAAGCAGACAAATATGTATAAACAAGTATACTCAGAATAAATAGGAAATAAAAGAGAGAAAGTCACCAGACTTAAGAGGGATTGTGGAATGCTTCCTGTGGTAGATGGGATTTTACTTGGAAATTGGAGGGGGCCAGGAAAGCCAGGAGGGAGAGCATTCCAGGTATGGAGGACAGCTAGAGAAAATGCTTACAACTGAGAGGTGAAGTTTCTTATTCATGGAACAGGCAGGAGGTCAGTTTTACTGGATCAAAGAATATATGTTGGGAAGTAAGATAAAAATAGATTGGAAAGGTTAGAGAGGGCTAGATTATGAAGGACTTTGATTGCCAACAGAACCTTTTGTGTTTGTTCTTTGAAGCAATGGGAAACCACTGAAGTTTATTGAGTAGGCAAGACATAGTCAGACCTGTGCTTTGGGAAGATTACTTTGGTGGCTGAATGGAGGATGGATTGGAGTGAGGAGATACTTGAGGAAGGCAGACCCATCAGCAGGCTATTGTAATAGTTCAGGCATGAGATGATGAGAGCCTGAACTACAGTATGGTGTCAGAGGAGAAAAGGAAGTATATTCAAGAGATTTTGCAAAGGTGAAACTGACAGGCCTTGGCAACAGATTGGATATGGGGGGCAGTTAGTGAGAAATCCAGTATGACTTCTAGGTTTTAAGCCTGAGGGACTGGGAAGTAATAGGGAATGTAGGGGGTGGGGGAAGGGTTTAGGGGGGAGATAATGAGTTTTGTTTTGGACATAATGAGTTTGAGATGTCTACTAGACATCCAGTTTGAGATGTCTGAAAGGTAATTGGAGGTCAGCAGAGAATTTGGGGCAGGATAGGAAGATCTGAGAATTATGAGCATAAAGATGGAAATTAAATCCATGGGAGCTGATGAGATCACTAAGTGAAGTAGTTTAGAGGGAGAGGAGAAGAGGACCCAGGAGAAAATCTTGTGGGACACCTATAATTAGAGGGCATGATCTGGATGAGGATCTATCAAGGGAGACAAAGAAGGAATGGTTAGATAGGTAAGAGAACCAGAAGAGACAAGTGTCCTGAAAACTTAGAGAGAAGAGAGTATCAGGGATGAGAGAGTGATCAACAGTGTCAAAGGCTGCAGAGAGGTCAAGGAGACTGAAGATAGAAAAAATGGATTTGGCAACCAAGAAATCATGGTAACTTTGGAGAGAGTCATTTCAGTGGAATGATAAGGTCAGAAACTGGATTGTAAGGGGTTAAGGAGAGCATGGGAGGGAAGGAAATGGAGGCATCTATTGTAGATGGCCTTTTCACCATGTCTTGAAACCAATCTCTTAAAGGTCACCAATGACTTTCATTTCCAAATCAAATGGCCTTTTCTCAGTCCCTACCCTCTTTGATCCTTCTGTATCTTCCTTTACCATTTACCAAATTTTCCTTCTGTTTATTCTCATCACCATTTGGTTTCTGAGACCCTATACCCAGCCAGCTGTACCTCTCAACCAATACTCCTCTGTCTCTTCATCCTTGCTCTTTAAAGTAGAAGTTCCCCAAAGCTGTATTTGCTTCTTGATCATTCTACACCCTTGAATTACTCCTACCATCTACCTCCTTTGCTTCTACTCATATGTTACTGAATAGAACTAGAGGAAATCCCACAACATGGTCAACTGGGTCTACTACAAGTTAATGTTATCTAATTTCAACTGAGCCCTCATTACATGAAGGCAATCCTTTAACTTTTACCTAATTGATTTGTTATTCCATCCCCCAGAGAGAGGCAATTTCAAACCTCTCTTTCCCCTTCAAACCACCTATACTAATTCTTTTCCCCAACTACTCATCTGAGGAACTAATCTTATGCCTCACAAAAAAATAAAGACTGTTCACCAGGAACTCCCTCTTCTCCCTTTTTCTGTATCTCAGAATGCCTTGACATCATCCTCCATTCTCTTCTCCTAATTTCAGTTTGTGATGAATTGTGATGAATTAATTTTGTTTCTTCTAATTACCAAGGTCACCTTCCTACATTTTCCCTTGATCCTATCACCTCCCATCTTCTGCAAATTTTCCCCATTAATCTCCAATCTCTCCTTATCTACTGGTCCTTTCCCTACAGCCCACAGATACACTAGAGTCTCTTCATCCTTAAAAAAAAGTCTTCAATAGATCTTACAATTCCCCTAAACACCTAGAAATACTGTCTATGTTCATTCCCTCTCCTCTCCTCTAACTTACTTGTTAACCCTTTAAATCTGGCCTCCAGCCTCATCAGTCTTCTAAAACTGGTCTCTCCAAAATTATCAGTAATTGTTTAATTGCTAAATCTGATTGCATTTTCTCAGTACTCATCCTTTTGGACTTCTCTGCAACATTTCTCACTGCTGATCCTCTCCCTCCAGACTCCTGTGGGGCATGTCATCTGAGTGTCTTACTAGTACTTCAAACTCAGCTTGACCAAAATCAAGTTATAATCTTTCTCCAAAAAACAAAGAACAAAAACAAAACAAACAAACAAAAAACCCTGGCCCCCACTTTCTGACTTTTATTTCCATCAGTAGTACATACCACTATTTTTTCACATTCCCACCTGCACAACCTTGGTAAGTGTTTGACTCTATGTTCTTAGAATCACTGAGGAGGGAGTGACTTGACAGGTCATTCAGTTCATTCTGTATCTGGAACAAGATTCCACACTACAGAATCCTTACAAATTGTCATCTGGCCCCTTTTTGAAGCTTACAGCAAGTAACCAACCTCTTCCTCATAGCCCATTCTATTTGTAAGTTTTTTCTTTTCTTGTGTTGACTCTAAATCTTTCTCTGCATTTTTCACTTATTGCTCTCTATCCATCATCTGGGGTTAGGCAGATCAAGTTTAGTCCTTCTTCCATGTAGCAGCCCTTTAGTACTAGGAAGCAGTTATATCTCTATTTCTCTCAACTAATCTGAATAAGACATCATATCCAGTCTTCTCACAGTCCTAACCATCCTTTTCTGGATATGCCCCAGTTGGTCAGCATCCTAGAAGTTAACCTTTAGTCAGATGGTCAGGGATCTTTCTGGAGTCTTTCATGGTTTTTTTTCTGTCTCTATTGGTGTTGCCTAACAATACCTTGGGTCCTTAGGCTGCCATGTCACATTGTTGAATCACAGTGAGTCTGTTTCAGTAAAACCCTCATTTCTGTTTCATACACTGTTGTATAGCCATGTTTCCTATATCTTCTACTTGTGCAATTGATTTTTTTTTTTAACTCACATATTGGACATAGCTTCACAAATCTCTTATTCCGGATAGAGACTACTGAATTGTTCCGTTCAAAAAGAGCATCTCATAAGGTTCTGTCATCATTATCCTCAGAGGTGGAATCACACCTGTGGTGAGTGCACTATGACCTGCATGCACCAAATCTGTTCAGCTGGACATGGGGGCTGGAATTTCTTGCTTTCATTCAACATTTTAATCCTCCATTTTCCTCAGTCTCCTTAAGGCAGGCTTTCCCCTAAGGCAACCCTCATCTTCTGTGGTTCTGTATTGAGAC